ACAAACGGATGAGGAATATGTTTATGCTGATATAAATGAAAATAAAAACACAAAATACTTGAAGTATTCAATAGTTATTGGTTAAACATTTTCGTAATTTTACAAATAATTTAAAGTTAATGAAAATGTTTATTAAAGTGTGTAAAACTTACAAAAAAAAATTGAATACAAAACATATTGTAGGAGTCCACAGCTTTCTGTTCATTAGATTTCCATGGTAGGATAATTAATCTTCGGTGTATTTTAATGTTCTAAAGTTTAGAATCTAAACTGATTAAAAAATCCAACAGATAACCCTGTAACCTGGCAGATGTGGACACCTACATTGTTTCTTTTCGTTAAATTTGTTTTAAATTATCTACATATAAGATTTTATTTTTATTGTTCATGTTATGAAAACATGCGATTTTGAGACAGTTTTAGATCTATGGAAAATTTGGCCATTTAAAAAAGTTGTTTTAGTCATAGTTTAATTTTTTATTTCATTTTTTATTTTTTTTTTTGAAAAGTGTTATGGTTTTTGAGCAAATGTTCTCAAGTGAAAACCTGAACTTTTATTCTTAATTTTTAGTTTTCGTCTAACCATCATTAAAAATTCACAAAAATAAATTGTATAAAGTCCTTTAATTTCATTTCACATTTCATTCTGTTTTGCATTTTAAAATATATGTATGTATATCTATGCGTATGCATTTGTTTCATTCATTTTAGGTTAGTAATTACTTATTGCTTGCATATGTACATATGTATGTGTTTAAAACTGCTTATGAAATTTTAAAATGTTTTTTATTTGTTATTGCGTTGCATTCACTGTCATCAATACAAGTACGATGTTATCGTAACTTTGATAACTGCTAAAACGCGCAACAATTGGTTAACGTATTACAGGAGCAAAGCTGCGGGATTAGAGTTGATTTTTGTTGTCGTTTCTGTTTCTGTTTTTGTTTGTTTGTTTTTTCACAAAACATTTTGTGGAAACTAACCATTTCCTTAATAATAATTTTAAATCCGCTATTTCTAAAGGCATGCAGACATTTCTTCAACATAATACGTATCCTTTTCTTTAAAATAGATGCATCTCTCCAATAATTATTTTTTTATAAAACAAACGATGCGGATAAAATGCATAGAAATTTTGTTTTAATTTCCTTAAATATTTTTAAAAACATTGTTTTTTTTTTACACGGCTTGGTTAGTCAGCTATGTATTTATAAGGTTGTTTGCAAGCGTCCCAAAAAAATTTACGTATCTACCTAAACTAATTTTTATTTTTTTATTTTTTTTTCTGTTAAACGAAACATCTCAACTTCTTTGCGTTAAGCAAACTATAGTTTTGCATTTTTTAATATTGTAATAAACTCGACGCAAGCTAGATTTTTATTAATGTAAATATGTATATTCGCGTACATGCATATGTAAATATTTATAAATAATTTCTCATTTTCCACGTTTCACTTAAATAATATGTGTTTTATGTCTCCTTTTATTACGTAGTGTATGTATGCTTGTATGTATGTATGTATATGTGTAACTAGCAGAACTAACTGTTCTATGTATTTCATAATTTTCACTTAAAAACTAGCATACAATCAAATTAAACAGCGCTGATAACACACCGGCCGACAAACATTTGAACAAGTAGAGTTTAAAACATTATTTTTGCTTTCAAGAAAGTCGAATATTTTTAAAATTGTAAATAAGTGTCCCAATGACCATTATTTTGAACAGTCTTCCACTTGTGTACGGGTATGTGTATATGTATGTATGTATATAACGCAAGGGCATTACAAGATTTTGCTCGATTTTTTTACTTGCCATAGTTTGGCTTAGCTGCTTTTAACATCAACACCAATCCGCTGTGTACGTAAAATCTTGGAAGAACATTTGCTCTTCATCAGTCAAATGTCTTGGTTCTTTTGGAGGCGTCAGGTGTGGTTTTTCGGAAGTAAATTCTTCATCGAAATTCGACACATCCTCGAGATGGTTCTGAAAAATTTAAATTTTATTTTTACTTAAAATCAGTAATATTTTTAATGTGCTAAATAATTTGTTGTTGTTTTTTTTTCTAACAGCATACACAGTCCTCAAATAGTATTGGGGAATGTTGCTGAAGTGGCAGATATACAATGACTCAAACAAGTCTTCACATGTAATTTTTTTTTTTTAATATTCTCGATATTTTTTCTAGTTAAAATTTTTAGTTATTTTTTAAATGAAAACTTTGTTCTTGTTTTAACCAAAAGCCATACAAATCAAAATTTCAAACTTAAGAAAAATTTCAAAATCACAAAATTTAGCATAATTCTAAAAAACTTAAAACTTCGAACTTTTTAATCTGAATCTGGAGTACGTACCATTCCATACACACAATGGTCGGAATAATTATAGCCGCACCACATTTTGACAAGTTTTAACATATTATTTTTGTTGTTATTTAATTTTGGTTATTTCTTTATAAAAATATAGTTCATTCTTTAACAAACCCGTGTAAATCCAAAAAAAAAAAATTCAATAAACTTTCGTAAAAATGTCTAGCTTTTTTTAAATAAGATTTCCTACATAGATTCTGAGTATGCAGTTTTGTTTGTAGCCCATTGAATTCTAATAGAATAAAGTGCAAGTTTCAAATGACTAAAAATTACCTTTGATTTTTTAGACTTGTTTGTCCCATTTGCTTCCATATAACGAATACGCTCAATTTATTTTTATATGGAAGAAAACCGTAACATCTTCGACAAGAAAAAATTTAAAAAAATCAACGGTAATTTTTAGCCATTTGAAACTTGCACTATATTCTACTAGAATTCAATGGGATACAAAAAAAACTGCATACTCAGAATCTATGTAGGAAATCTAATTAAAACAGCTAGCAATTTTTACAACAGTTTGTTGATATTTTTTTTTTTAATATAGAAAGAACTATATTTTTATAGAAATAACCAAAATTAAATAACAACAAATATAATATGTTAAAACTCGTCAAAATGTGGTGCGGTTAAATTATTTCGACCACTGTAGTATGTACTCTTCTAGGATACGTAGGCGTCATGTCGAGATCAGAGAGCGCTGCATAGGGGTTCGAAATTGTCATTTTGTGTTCACAATTCACTGGAGCCCTAATTTTTCACTCAATTTGATAAGATTTTTCTTTACTGAAAGCTAATAAAATTTGCAGAGACCAGTTGAGCCCGATTTTTTCAATTTTTTTTGCTTGTATTAAATTTTTTATTGCAAAGAGCAAACAAATTAGCAATTTTGAAGAAAATCGATTCTCCCGTTTCAGTTAATAAATCTTACATAATAAAAACTAGTTGAAAACAATTGTAGGGTTCTGCCAAAACTAAAAAAATTTGTAATGTTATAAAAATTTTTACCAAAATCTATTTTATTTTTTTGCTTTTATAAAAATTATGGGTATTCGATTTCACACATCATTAAATTTTAGTATAATAAAGTGCAAGTTTAATAATATGTATAACAGCGCTTTTATTTCCTATTTAGCAAGCAGATGTGCTTGAAATGATAGCGAAAGAATTATTAAAAATCAACGCGACCTCTTAGCCACTTGCAAATTGTACTTT